TCCCTGGGGCTTGCTTCAGCTGGGTGTTGTGGCATGTACCCTCTGCAGGGTCGCTAGCCTTGTCTCATCACTCCTGGTTTTGCTTTCCTGTCTTCTGCAAGGGAAGGCTTTGCAAAGTGCCTGCGTGGAGCTTTTTTTGTGCTGCTGTGGGTGAAGTGACCAGTGAGCTTGCTGGCTTAAACTCATCAGCCCCTGCCACGGGCTGGCTGATGCTCAGAGGCAAACCTCCAGCCAAGGCAGCTGTTAGCCAGCTCGCTGCTGCACGGGCTTGTGTGTCTTGGTAATACTCAGAGCTGCGCAATGGCACCCGCCCAACCTCTGCACCTGGAGCCTGGGTTGCACCCCCCACTCTGGTGGTCTCCAGAGCACCCGGTGTCACCCTGTGGGAGGGGGAGCAGAGTGAGGCAGCCCTGCACTACTGGTCTGCGGTGGTCAGCCTGTGCCGGGAAGGAGAAGAGTGGTCTACTCTCTGCACCGGCAGCACCTCTTGCCCTGGGATCCCCTCTCCAAAGGCAGGAGAAAAGAGCCCGTTGGTGAGGCTAGAGAGGCTGGCAGAGTGGGGATGTTAGGATGAGAGAAGAAAAGGAAGCACGTAAGAGCCGATATGCTGAGGCCATTTAGAACAAAAAGGGTGGAGGAGAAAAAAAATCAACTTCTCCTCCTGCCCTCCCATTTGTAGCAAAGGGACAAGCTGACATTTAGCAAAACCAAGAAGTGATAGATTTAGCATTGCTAAAAGGAGTTCACTTTAATTTTGATGTGAGGTGGGGGAGAAAAAGACTTGGTAGCTCACTACCACGAGGTGAAAAAGTGAAACCAAAGATTAGACTTGATATCAGCAACAGGGTCACAGTTAAACCAACAAGTGCCTTTCGGGTGGCAAGTAGGCATGTGCTTTGCTTAGTCACAGGGTCACGATGAAGGCTTGGGACGCAGAAATAGGAGGTGTCTTTCCTGTCTTAGCCTCAGGCTTTGCAGGGGGGGAGATCACTGGGTACTAGGTTTCTGAGGGATGCTGAGCAGTCTGCCCCTTGCAGACACCTGCAGGGGCTGCCACTTGTGGTGTGGTTTCAGGTATGTGGGACCAGGGTCTCCTCACTTGGAAAGCCTTGCTTAGGGCTGCGTGGGGCTGGGAGCCTCTTGGCTCGGAGCAGTGGTTTCTGCTTGAACACAGCAGACTGAAACCTGTGACAGCAGCACGGGGAACCGAAGGTCTCCCTCGCCGCCCATTTGCCTGTGTGCATGTTTGCAGAGTGAGGGCTTAGTAGGTCACGGGGGGAAGGAGAACGGCAGCAGGAAGGTTTGCCTGGCTGGCTTGAGGAGAGGGCTCTTGGGCTTCCCGCTCCCGCTGCCTCCAGGGAAAGGCACTTGGAGAACCAGTGACCTGGTCTCTTGCTGGTCTGCTTGACTCGGAAGGGATTTTGGGGCCAGCTAGAATCCGCCCTGGGCATCCCTCCGGGCTGTTTCCATTTGCAAGTCCAGGTCCTGCCAGCCCAGGAGGGAGGTGGGACTGTGGCAGGGGTGAGGAGCAGCAGGTGGTGTCAGCAGGGGGTCTCTGCTGTGCCTAGGCCATGGGGGACGGGGAGAGCAGGGTGGGCACGGGGCAGTTGGAGAGAGGCTCCCTTGGCTGGAGGAGGGGCTGGGGAGGAACCGCACACATCTCTTACTGGGCTTCTTTGCTCTGGATGGGCAGCTAGTTATAGCATGATTTTAGCTTCCTCTTTGATAATACACCAGGAAAACATCCTGCCGGACCTACTAAGTAGGTCTTAACAGTGATGGACTGGGGACTGTTCTGGGGGCCCTTCTGCAGCCTGTCCTCCTCAGCCCTCCTCCTCCCATGGTCACAGCCGGCATCACTGCCACCCTGGGTCTGCGAGGACACCGGGACCTGCTCGGCTGCTAGTGGCAGCTGGCCCTTTCCTGGCACTGGGAAGGGAAGTCCAAAGGATGTGTACCCTGTGTAGGGGAAGGGGCAGAGCCCTCCATCCTTCAGCAGCTGCTGGGTTTGAGGGGAGAGAGAGTTGAACAGGGGTGAACATCTCCTGCCTGCCCTGGGCATCTCCAGCTCCCCTTCCCCGCTGGCGCTGTGAGAAAAGGGCCGAACGCAGTCCCTGCAGCAGCTTTGGTGGTGGAGAAGTTTGCTCATGTGTCCTCACCCACCCCCAGCTCTCACCGCTTCGCAAAGGCCACTTGTTCCTTCCACCATGACAGAGTCAGCAGCGGTGGCAGTAGCTCAGCCTTTGGGCCTGGCTCCCCTCTGGTTAATGGTTTCCTGTGAACCACTTTCAAGATACCCATCGGGGAAAGCAGCTGGCCGCCTTCGCTGCGCTGGCAGCAGCCTCCCTGACATTTTGTTATGATCATTTTACTGTAGTCTCCTTTCAGGCCCCGAGGACGCTGGGCACGGTCCAAATGCGCGCACGCACGCTCCTACACACAGAGGAAAAGAGCTCCCTGTCTAATTTTAGCCGTGACATGTAGGCAAGGGGAAGGGGCAGGCAGGAGGAGGCAGGGTGTGAAAGGACGAGGTCCCAGCTGCGGCCACCCGCGCTGACTCACTACAGCCGCGTGCATGGCTATCGGCTCCCATTGCTGGGTAAATGACCAAAATAACAATAGCTGGTGACTCACCCCTTGTGGGCATTGAGGAGCAAGCTGGCCTTCAGTGTGATCCCCCTCTCTGCAAAGGCTGAAGCGGAGATGGGTTTCATGGCCCCAAAAGGGAGCTGGGTTGCATTTGGCTGGGAGCAGCTCCCTGGGGGCAGCTGGGGGACATGGGGTAGTGGTGAAGCGTGATGGGGAAGTCCCAGCCTGGCTGTGAGAGGTCCTGTGGGGCGGGTTGCAGCAACAAGGGGAGGTAAAAAGCTCCTGAGATGTCTGTGGAGCCCACCTGGACCAGACACTGACCATAACTTGGGAGCAAGTTACCTCCTGTGCATGAGCACAGGCTCTCCCTGGCAGGTGGCTCGGCTCTGATCAGCCGTGCAAACCCCTTTATCTTTATCAAGGTCCCAAGGAGGTGGGAGAGAATTGCCTCCTTGGCAGGTTCCTCCCCTTATCCTCCTCTTGCCACTCCAAGGGAAGCGGTGGCATCTCCTAGTTTTAGTTGGGTGCTGGGGGGCAGCTGGGTGCCGGGGGGGTCCTGTCTCTGCTGCACGCGCCTCTGGCCGGGGGCAAGCTGGCCTTGGGGCTGCTCGGAGAGGAAGTGCAGTTGGTTATTTTAACGAGCGCTGTCAGGGTTTGCAGCGCGGGGAGGAGGCGGAGGGAGAAGCTGAACGCTCACTCTCCAAACTAGGACTTGGTTGGGGAGGGCTGGCCCGCCGGTACTGCGCGGCCACCGCCACCCGCTCGGCACCTGCAGGGACCCTGCGCCGCTCCAGATCAGGTCACAGGGGCTTTTCCCCGTGCTTTCCCCTTCTCCTCTTCCTCCTTGTCCCCCACATTTTGCTGCTTTCGTTTGTGCTGGGTGGGGGATGGGAGGGGGCCGGGAGAGCCAGCCCTTAGTTCGTGGGTACGGTCTGAGCAGGTACCGGGTCTCATCCTGCTGGGGAAAGGCAGAGGGGAGCAGACCCCAGAGTCATCCCTGAGACCCTCAACCTTGCAGCAGTGTTTGCTGCTGGAGGCTGGAGTGAGCCCATGAGGCTACGAGCGATTCCTGGGGCTGAGGCGGGGGCTCTGTGAAACGCAGCCACTTTGGGACTCAGTGGCACCTGGCTGTTGTTTCCCCTTTGGAAGGAGGGCAGGGATTTTCCCTGCCAGAGGTGCGTTTCCAGCCACCCAGTCTGTTGCCTGTGACGGCACTGGCTGCATCCTGCCAGCCCATGTGGCATGGGGATGGCAGCGGGAAGTCTGCATGTGGCAGAGGACAGCGGCATGGGGAGCCAGCCTGCTCCTCACCGGGACCCCCGGACCCCAGCCGCTTTGCCCTGGCATAGTTTAGGGAAGCAGGACAGACTTGTGGGCTCCTGGCATCT